ATAGGAAAAAATTCCTATGGATTTAGGATTTCTATTGCGTCTAATAAAATCAATATTGTTGCGTGGTAATCTGTTGTACTGTGGGACAAAAATAGTGACTGTTCAGATTTTAATTCAATGGTGTTTTTATATTATCTATCTCTTCCTTTTACCAAGTTAATGATTTAGTTAGCCTTTCATAATGAAAGGGTATAATTTTAATAATACATTTTAGTCTCATACAGCTTTGAGAAACTGCTATTCCAGAATAGCTCCCTGGAATGCTGGTATTCTTACTCATAAAGGCATCCCATTGGATGGATATTATAGATATCCTTATGTTTTATGAGCTTAAAAGTGCTTTTATTTTAATATCTATTTTTTGTTAGCTGGAATATCTTACACTTGGTCTCAAGCACTACAAGATCTCTATAGCTGCCGAAGTGAAAGATAATACTGCAATGTAGGTTGTATATCAGTAATACACCAATGATGGTAAAATTAATTTCTTTTTAGGGGAGCCCACATATTTTATATGTTTTATTCCTAACTGTACAGTTAAAGTTGCTTGTTCTATAATTAAATATGCACCATGATATCTACATTAATAGCTTCAGGTTCAAGAGAGCTACTTTCTTCACATTCATATATTCTCAAAGTTTCATAAATAATCCAAATTACGCAAAATTCCTTTTTTGATGATAGTTATTCCCATGGAACACCAGAGGTATTGCGTGTGGGACCCATACATGAGGGACCTATTCTCCTTCAAAAATGGTGAATAAATAAGAATGGAAAAAACAAATAGTTCTGCTGCATAAACCTCTGCAAATCAACCAACCTCTCCCACACATGGTGTGGGGGGGGGTGTGTGAATAAAGGTGCTGAGTTAAAGTAGTCAATATCTCATATTTAACAGAGCTGAAATTCCGTTAATTAGACCATCTGGTGAACTTGTGTAATTGTTAGGTTTTTTTAGTTATCCAGAGATATCTGCTCCTTGTGGATATATGATGGTGAGTTTGAGATGCAGATCACGTGAGCTATCTGAAGTAGGATATATATAAGCAGCCAAATTCAATCATATTTCAGAAGATTTTAGTGAGAAGTGGGGGAATTTGTGAAGTAGTATTTTTTAATTTAAATAGAGAACTGAATAAAATAGAATAAGAAAAATAGATTATTACAGAGCTATAAAAATTCTAGCAGTAGGTGAGAGTGGATCCTAAGTCTCTGGTGTCCACCAAGGAGAACCATGAAGGGAGAACAAAAGCAGCTCTGATAGATGAGAGGAGACTGTGAAGCAAGAAAAAATAAAGATGGTGAAATGGGTAGAAATAATAACCAGGGAGAAGCATGAAGACTTTACAGGAAGTTTTCCACCAAAGGACTGTGGATTTTAATAATTTGAAAGGAATAATTATTTTAATGTATTTCTGAAAATTACCACAATTCTTCATTGCCAGAATAACATAGCACAGTGATTAACTGCAGGGAAGAATTACAAAAAATAGCATAGCTGCAAATTAAAACTAATAATAAAGTTATCCCAGATACAGTAATTTCTTAGTATGTTACTCTTTTTTTCTTTTTTTTTTTATTCTGTAGAAATTTAATAATGACTGGTGGATAGGACGATTGGTAAAAGAAGGCTGTGAAATCGGATTCATACCAAGCCCAGTCAAACTAGAAAACATGAGGCTGCAGCATGAACAAAAGGCAAAACAAGGAAAATTCTACTCCAGGTAATAACAAGAAATCATTAATAATAGCAACATTGTCTGTGACACAACTTGGAAATTGGTGCTGTGTATCAGTCATATATGTGCCTAAATGTTGTTAGTGGAAGCTACAAACATTTTTGATCAATGAAGAAATTAATATATAATGAATTATATTATTTATTATATATAACATTATTTTACATATTATATTGATAATTAATAAGCTTATTAATATCATTGCTATTTGGGAGAAAAGGAGATATTTAAATTGGCAATCTATGGTGGCCTACCACTGAAATGGTTTCCTTCCTTTTTTGTAAAATAATTGCTAATATACATTACAGTAAGTATATTTACTATCTATACATTTACATTTAATATTACATTTACTAAGTTAATTGTTTTACTTAAAATTGCTTTGTCTAAATTCTTTAGCATTTTTAATTGTTTTGATGATCCTTCCATTTCTAAACACATTAAAATATAATTTTAGAAATTACAGAAAATGTTAAGATGAGTTTACTTGTAAACCAGAGCCAGTGCCTGTTAGTTAGCTCGTAGGGAAAAAACAGTCTTGTCAAATTCATTGCCTACAACCACAGCTTTTAAGAACACTACATTTTATGATGGAAGTTTCATGTTAAGTCATTTGTTATCTCTGACTGCAGCCATCATTGCATAAGAAAAAGGACTGTTTCTAGATATTCTGAACAATACTACAAGATAGAATAATGTCACCTTTACTCTCGAATTCTTAATAAAGTAGTTTTCTAGTAACACCTGTGGAAGCAAATTGAGTATAAAGGAAAAAATATTCCCAGTGTATTTGAGTGGGATGGACCTGGAACTGAGCTAGGAACCATTCAGGAAGCCAGAAATGCTTTCCTATCTCTATAGAAAGGGCAGCAATGTTTGTAGAGCGTGCCTAGAGTAGGACACTGTGATTGGGCACTGCTCAGCTGCATTCACCAGCTGTCAAAGGCTTTTCCCATGAGCATGCGGTCCTCAGCAGAAAGATGCTGGATCCTTATTCCTCTAGTGACACGTCTGGGACAGCCAGATGTGTTCCAGTGATTTGGTTCTTTTCCAAATTGTAGAGGCTTCCATTCTCCAGAAATTCTCACTGAAGATAACATTGTCCTACACCAAAAATGCATTAACTTATTAATATTTCAAGACAGAGAAAGTGGAAACTAGTACTATCACATGAATTATTTGAAGAGTGAAATAACCTTTCTTACATTTTTTTTTCAGAGCTTTTCTCATTATGGTAACTGAAATAACAAAGACAAGAACTGTTGTTTCATTTTCACTACTTGGATAGGTTTTCACAAAGCAGAACTTGACAAAAACCTTAGACTGGTTTAGCTTTGAGAGACTTTTTTTTCTTAAGTGCTATATTGTATTGAGAAAGCAAAAGGGTTAAAAGGGTTTGTACGTTAATTAAATTGAAAAGGTGATAGGGACAGTCTCATCTTCATTAGCAATTTATCAATAACTCCTCAGCTGAAATAAACAGATATGCTCACTCGCTTAAGAATTACTCTTAATGGGCAGTAATATTAATTAATATATACCAATAGCCATATGAATTACTGAATTGTATTAAAATACTGAGGAAATGAGAGCAGCAGAATAAATTGCACAGCAGCACAGGAAGTATGATTGATGTTTGCAGTTCCTCAGGTCTCAAAATGTACACGCATTTTGTGGGAGATGTATATTTTATACCTCTGCCAGAAATACAGTTTGTCTCACAGCTAGCACCTCATTTAGAAGGCATATAATAAATAAACTAGATTAAATATTGAGAAAGCTACAGAACTTCAAATTAATATATTACTTTACTCCAGTAAATCAGGAGGAAACTCTTCATCCAGTTTGGGTGACATCGTTCCTAGTTCCAGAAAATCGACGCCTCCATCATCTGGTGAGTAGGTTGTGAACCCTTCAGTAAAGAGACTCATGAACCTAATCTGTTAAAATTCATGTACCATTAGACCTTTTCTTCTTTTTACTCCCCATTCTTCTTAGGTAAAACCTGGCCTATTTCCAGATGAGGCTGGTTTGGATTGGTTGGAAGTAATGGAGTCAATGCCAGCAAGTTCAGACAATAATTAATGCACAAAATTCCCTCTTTGCTCTTACCACAGAGTTTTGTAGCAGAGGCATAATAGATCTGTGAGATTACATTACAGTAGGATAGTGGAAGGTTTGGTCTGAATGCTTCCTTGTACAGGAGAAAAAGCAGCAATAAAAATAGAAGTTCCTGAGAGGTTTCTGCAATAGCATCAAGAAAGGTATTATTTTAAAACATCAGGAACATTTAGTTTCATAATTCTGATCATGAGGATGCACTTCACATAATTCTAGGATGCTGGATATGTCTTGCCTTTGACAAATTTTTCAAATATTCTATTTTGTACGTAGAGCATCAACATACATATTTAACTTTAGTTAGGTTGGATTCACATGGTATGAAGCAAATATGTGGCAAGTTGGGGGAGGATGCTGGCATTAGCTCCATTAAAAAAGCTCAGCAGAAGATCAAAAAAAGAATTGCTATTGAATTCAGCTGCTGTGTTGTTGGATGTTTTATCTTCTCATATACATTGTAAATACCTGAAAACAGAAAATATTAATCGGTGTTGCTAGTGCCTTTTTTACTAGGGCAAAGACATGGATCTTCAATCATACTCATTTATATGGAGTCTGGTCTACAGAGCAGGCATCTTAAAATGAGCCTGAAGATTTTAAAGTATTTACTTGGTCATTTAAAAGGGAGACGGAGAAATTAAATCCTGTTTTGGTAGTGCTTCATTTGGTTCAATCAATTTAAAAATGTATCAGTCTTGTGCAACCATGGATTTGTTAGTAACAACCAACTTTATTGAAATTGCAGTTTGTTTATAAAAATTCCACCTCAGTTTAACTTCTCTTTTCTTTTGAAAATATTGTATTAGTTACTAATGTATGTTTGTAATAAGTGTGTAGAACACACCTTAATCTTTTATTTTCTGATGGCTTTAAAATGATGTGTTTACTGTTAAGGCCAACTTTTTCAACAACTGCATTTTTGTAGTGAAATTGTCCATTGACTCAACCTATGTTGTAATTTTATAGTTAGAGCATGTGAAATACTGTAATATAATTTGCTATCAAAAAACACTTGAAGATCAGTACATGTATTTCAAAAATGTTGCACAGAATTTAGAGTTAGGAGCATAGATATCATGTAGATTACCAGCTGACTGTCACCCATCCTCTAATTTTCATTGCATTGAGTTGTTTCTTCAGACACTGTCTTTCAAGAAGCATGGTTTTCTGGAGAAAGAAGGAAATCTGTTAAAGTGTATTCAGTTACAGTGAAGATTTGAAAATATGTATAGATAGTGCACATTAACTTATTCTGGCATCCAAGATTTTGAGTCTACAATATTTTTTTGGCTATGACATCCTAAAAAAGGTGAAAAAGGCATTGTTTAGGACTAGAAGAAGAATTCAAGTGACTTTGAAGGACAATTCAGTTATTATTCCCACACCTTCTCTCTTTGAAAGTATAATCAATACATCAATACAAATACATCAATTATTTCATAAGTTGAAGAATACTAACTGAATAAGTTAATTTCATTATTTACTTTGAGTCAGGGATGGGTTTTTTCAATATAAAATAGTGCCACAGAAAAACCAAACAAAAAAGCCCACACAAACAAGATGAAGAACCAGTGAAAAACAAATTAAAGAGAGGTTAATATCCATTAAAATAATGAATATTGATATAGTAAACAACCCACACAGTCCTATTAAGCCACCAAACTGGGTAAGAATAATGCTGAAAATGACTGAAAAGACCCTAGTAAACTAAAGATATTTAACAGTAAAAGAATTGTCATAGGAGATATTCCATAGTGTGAAGACTGAGAAAGAAAGCAGGAGGTATTGGTAACTAGCTGATCAAATTCTGCTGATCAAAGCTTGAGGTAACTGATTTTTCTTTACTGACAATTTCAGTTGAGCATAGTACCAAAGGAGTTTTCATGGTCTTATTGTGAGTGATTTACAGCATCTGTGCTGGCCTGTATCAAGAAAATATAATATGGTTTTTTTATAATTATGAAGAGGATTTAGGAACAGTGTTGCAAGAAGAAAATGTTGTATGATTTCTGTGGTTGTTTTTAGGAGCAGGATTATAGAAACAGGATGAGGATCTACTCACTGGATTTTTCCTTGGAAGGACAGACTCAAAGGCACAGTAACTCAGGAAATGTCAGGCATCAAGGCATTAGATCTGTGGATAATTCAAATAGGAAAATGTACGTTACGCAAAAAAAAGAGATTGCTGCCACAAGTGTCTGTTACATCAGTAGCTGCACATATGCTTGACAGAAATATTTATTTGTTACATAATTTAATAGCACATGCTATTAGTTGATGTCCCACTCATGAATCAGATGAAATCATGTCACTAAGATGGTTTCATAGTTTGCAATGATTAACTAAGGGTTTGGATAAAGTCAATACAAACTATTCTGCTTACAGATCTATTTAGGGTTAGGCTCAGTTTGACATCCTGGCATGTCAAGATAAGTGTGTGTTACCAGAGGGGTGGGTAACATCTTCACACACAAGGGTGGTGATGTATGACTGCTTATGGTTCACGTTTGTGAACATCTGCTTTTGTGAACAAGCATCTGCTTGCTTGCTGAAAGCAAGTTTAAACCACTACATAAGATCAAGATTGATTGTTGTAAATAAGAAAGGTTTTGTTTGGTTTTACATGTCGTTGGCAGGTACCTGTTCTACTCAGCATTCAGGATAATACGGCTTTGCATTTTGAAAGTGTATTTATTACTGAGTCTGTCAGGATTCCAGTTGAAACTGTTATTACTTACTTGCTAAAAAGGGTAAATAATTTGTGGTTATGGTATAAGCATTTTTTGTTACATATTCTTTTGGGGTAGAGATTGAACAGCAGTGGTTTATTGTATTCATTTCCATTTTACCCTGCCTACATCCTGACTCTTTACATAAGATTCATGTCTCTGAGCTAAGCTGGGATAATTTCCTTTCTTCTGCTATCCATTCTTTTTAGTTTTCATTATTAGTAGATCTATGTTTAGATATTCCCAATAAATGTATCTTATGAGTACAATGCATTTTTATTTAAAATATTAAAAATGCCTATTATAGTCCATCCTGAGATAAATGTAGATAAAACTGTACCAATATCTGGTTGATTTTGTCATCAAAAGTGATTTTTCTTCTAATTCTTCATTTCCCATCGACACAGTAGTAACATTTCAAATTTCAATTGATGATACCCATTTTCATTTAGTGTTCATTGCTATAAAATAATCCAAATTATTTGATTTGTTGACCAAGTTCTGTTGTCTACATTGGTGGAAGTCTTATCTATTCAAGTGAATATTTTGGATTTACACTGGTGTAACAAGAACAAACTTGGCCATTGGTCTAATTTGTAAATATTACAGTAGCTGTTACAGATCACATTCTGTCTTTTAATCCTAAAGTACTGCACCTTTAAATTTTTCCCTTCATTTTATTGTAGTTTTTTTTCTCATGGTCAACTTTTAATTTTTATTTATCTCTTTATTTATTACTCTGGACAGTTTTATTTCTGTTTACCTGTAATTTCCTTTTTAACCTATCTTTACTTTCCCTGTCATCTGATAATTCTGAATTGTTTGTCTGTATATAGCTGTAGACATAGATGCCACTGGCTTAGATGCAGAAGAAAATGATATTCCAGCAAACCATCGCTCCCCCAAACCCAGTGCAAACAGTGTAACATCACCCCACTCCAAAGAGAAAAGAATGCCCTTCTTTAAGAAGGTAACACCAACTTCCAAGCTCCCATCTGTGCACCTGCTCACCTGCACTGCGTCGCATTTCTAGTCCTGTTAACTGTCTGCGTCCTTTGACAAGCCAATAACACGCATGCTTTGTTGTTCTTTGTTTCTTTTCCATGCTGCTGTAGCTAAGCAGAAGCAGAAATCGGTAAGTTTATATCAACATTGCCTGTGTTCATCCTGCCACTGGCATCATTAGCATTATGACTCCAGATTAAGAATGCAGCTATTCTAGAATTAAGGATGAAGAAATGTGTTGAGCTGATAGTGGATTCATTACAGGAAAACAGGCAAAAGTTCTGTGTGTCTGTGAAACTCTGCTATGTACTTATCCTTTTTGATGGAATAAAAGGACACACTTCTGAAATGTTTGAGAAAAATTATTTTTAGCATTGTAATGCACCTCTCTAGTGCATGTTTATTCTTTCTATATCTTTCTTAAGTTTTTGGGTTTTTTTCTTTATTACTCAGTCTGTTGAAATCATTATTGGAATCTATCAGATATTCAGTTTGGACTTTGGAAACAAATTGTCAAATTCGTTCTATTTTTAATTTAGTCTATACTTAAGCTTCTAATTCACTAGGTGCAAAGTCGGCAAGTGCACAAGACCAATGGAAAACCTCAGACTTGTTTTGACAGTTTACTTCAGATTTTTCCTGTTGTTATGTATAAATTACCAGCCAAATGTTCTTGCCATCCATCAGTGAGACTTTTTTAGTATCTCAGCTATTGGAAGTGGTACTGGTGGTTCCCAGGAGAGCCTATGTTTCTCCACAGATAACCTAGATAACTACAGAATTATGCAATTGACATCCTGTTGCAAAAAGCTGCAATAGGTTTCTAGGGCCTTTGCTGGAGTAAGTTAGCAAGACATTAGGTAGTAGTCAAACTATGTAGTGAAATACCACATTTTGACTGTTTTGTTTTAAAATCTGTAGTCTTCATAGCTCTCATTCATTTGGTTTTAACCACTCACTTAAATCTACAGGTAATAACTGACTTTTATAGCGCTTACACAGTACCAAGTGACATTGTTGTCCTTGCTGTGGATGCTCTCATGTTTAATAAGTAGATCTTTGTTTCTGTCTCTCTTTTCTTGAACTCTTTTACATAGTATTGAATCCTTCTCTTTTCTGAAGTCACTGCTGTTGGCTTCAGTTTTGGTGTAGAAATCAACAGTGGGTTCTTACTTCTGAGTAATTTCTTACTTCATCATATTTTTAATTGGATAATACATGCTGACATGTATTGGATGCTGTCTGCATAAGCATCTTTCAAAGCTGTAGCTTCCAGATGAACCACCTTAGACCTGGAAGAGGGTTAGTCCCACATCTTTCTTTGACTCTGTGGTGCCTCTTTTCTTCCATATCAAAACCATTACTTGTGTTAGTGGGGTTTGTAATACTGACATTTACACTGTGTGCTGGATGGCCATCCCAAAGTAATCTACAGAGTCAAACCACTGAGTAAATGCCATATATTCAAATCTACCAGTTTTTATTCCGAGTTCATATTTGAACTTGAATCTGCAGTGAAAGCTGTATAGTTCAGTACCAGTCTCTTAGAAAATATTAGATTCTCTACTGCTAAATTAAAGAACTTTAATGCTTCCATTAGATAACTTCTACTCAATTTCCTGCTGACAGCTTCATTATTTCAAGCTGTAAAAATTTGAGAAAAAATGCCCATTGCACCAGAACAGATTTTAAAAGTACCCCATATTCCATCAAATAAGGTAATTTCTGTGCTTGCCCTGATTGCCAAATAGCTGGTTAACTTCTAGCATGAATGCCTTTTGTTAAGTCAGCCACATTAAGACAAAGATCTGTTGCATCAGGGCACTCATGCTAAAAGCACTCACACAACTGTAATGAATTTTTCTTCTAATATGTCTCAAATACACTTATCAGATTACTTAAAATGTTAGCAAGAACAGGAGGACTGCTTTTGGATACAGGCCCAGCCTAATTGCAGGGGTTCACTTTGAAACATGTTGAGTCAGATTCTGTACTGTGAAAAATAAATTCATTTCACATGCTTATGATGCCTTGGGCACTGGTCTTCATTCTCATGTTATTAATTATCTTGTGAAACTACAGGTAACAAAAAATTAATTACATTGAGGGACATTCACAAAAATATTTTCTGTGTTATAGACTGCTTTAGACTGCTGCTTGTGTAGCATTGTGTGCTGTCACTATAAATGTCTGTCTTTGTGGGTTTGTGTTTTGGAATGTATATACTTATTTTAATGTTATTGCGAAACACCTTGGGATACATTGAGTTCTGGAACAATGAACAATGTCTGTATTCTGTGATCTTGACTGATGTATTTGTACTATGTAAGCATTTGAAAAATAGATCTGCTATTTCTTTTTCTGTAACACCCACACATTTCTGGGTTTGGATTTCAATCTTTTATACCCAAGACAAAGATAAACCAAAACTTTCCTTACGAACAAAAACCTCTTTCTGATTAGACCCCATTCATTCATGGTGATATATACTGAACAGCCATTTACTAAAAAAGAAAAAAATACCAAACTTAACAGTTTATTTCTTTTTGTATTGTATTGTGATAACAATATCAAATTTTTGCAACACTTAAAAAGGAAGCAATCTATTTTATCTCTGTATGCAAGAATACTTTTTTAGAAATTGTGCTTGATACATCAGTTAGTATTTTGGTAAGCATGGTACTACCAGAATCCATTCTTGGGTGGTGACAAGAACTTCCCAAAGTGGAAGAAATGCTATCCCAAGCCTTGCTTATGATAATTTTCTAGAAATACTAACTTGATCAGTCATTATTTTGATTTAATTTGTATTTGAATTGTGGGTGCAAATGTAGATGTCACACTGAGTGCTGCCATGAGAATTTGCAGTGATGTCACAATGTTTTTCCAAGGAATGGGCAGATCTGAACATTAAAAAAAAAAGATGCATTTTCTCATCCCCTTTTGTTTTAGTTTTCTCTTTCATAATTTCCTTTATAAAATTTCTGTTGAAAACAGAAGCAGCTGTAGAATTAACCATTTCACTTCATTAGTTGTTGAAAATAACCTTTTCAATTTACCTGTTAGGAATTATGCAGTGCGAAATGTGCATGACCCATAATAAGAGTTTTTAATATCCAAAGTATATATGAAAACAGTAGGAAACCCTAAAGTCAAAGAAAAGTTTTTTCGAAAGAACTCCCTGAACCTCTTATGTCCTTGTCTTGTGCTACCAGTTCCTGGGAAAAGTTAATGAATCTGAGATTTCTGTGACATTACTGAAAATTCAGAGTTCCCAATATTTAAGAGTGTATTACACTTTCTCTAAGTGTTGTGATGCTGAAAACTTTTTCTGTTTTGCAGACAGAGCACATCCCTCCCTATGATGTAGTGCCTTCTATGCGACCAGTAGTTTTAGTGGGGCCTTCTCTGAAGGGATATGAGGTAACTGATTGTTGTAAATAGTTGTTACAAAATGCTGTGCTTCCTTTGTATTTGATAATTTATAACACAGGCAAACATCAGACAGTTTTTACTCCTACTGAATAGCTGCTTATTTTTTATTTTACTTCATCTCAGAATTAAGATTAAGAATAAATTGCATTCCAACCCTGTTGTTCAGATATGAGATTTACTGTCAGCTTTATTCTATAATATTCTTAGCATTCAGTATTATGAATCTCCTGTGCAATTATTCATTTGTTGTTTTTTCATTCTAGGTAACAGATATGATGCAAAAAGCATTATTTGATTTTTTAAAACATAGATTCGAAGGGCGGTAAGTACTTTGCAATGCAAATATACTTCGGGTTTCATTTGGGTATTACCAGGTTTTTAAGAAATAATAACTTTGGACAAAATTAGAAATGACAACTCATTCCTTGATCAGTGGACTATAACTGTGGATTGGAAGTTTCCTTGACAGAGCATGCAGACGTTGTGTTGAAGTGGGAAGTGTTCTGGGGCATATATTTGTTGAGAGTGGAAAAAAGGATGTCTTCTTCTTGATGACTGTGACATTCACACTCCAAATTGCTAGATATTTATCTACAGATTAAAAAGTGATTTTAAATATTTTTCAAGTGATACCTCATCAATGCTTCCCAGGTTTTGAGCAAACTGGCAAGACCCACGGTTCCTCCTCAGCTCTACTTCCTCACTTGGCATCCAACTTGGAAAGAGTGATATGAGATTCAGACTATCTGGTGTATGGGATAGTCAAACTTTTGATTCCCTAAGATAGGAGCTTGGTGTGACAGCAGTTCTGGGCTCTGTAGTGGGAAGTTTCAAAAGGAGTGGGATGAGGGGGTGGGACAGTGCCCTACCTCGCTGAAATCAGGTCACTCTTGGCAGCACACCGGCTGCACTCCCTGGGTTCTGATCCGAGTAGCTGCAGCACACTTGTCTGTAACACAAGGAATTGTATTTGAGCCTTCAGACATTACAGTGGTACAGATTTCAAATGATATTCTGTCTCTAAAAGCAGTGCCCTGCTCTATAAGTCCAACATGAGAAACCCATGGAGCAGAGACATGAGATGCATTCTCCAGACATGACTATATTGGTATGGATCAAGCTCCAGACTAATATGTCCTAATTGGTTTACATTGTGAGGAAAAATTGTGAAAACAGGAAGATCTTATAATAAAATCTGTAACTTCAAGGCATGTTCTATTTAGTTTGGAAGTGGTCAGATCCATAACACTATTCTGTGTGTCCTGCTGCTGTCAAAACTTTGAAGAGGAAGCCTGAGGTTTTTTTGTCAATAGCTTCAGTTCTTTAAAACAGCACACATTGTGGTTTAAGCTGGTGGATTTTCTCAGTCAGAATAATGATGTCAATATCTAACCACTTTAGTAATCCCTCTTTATATTAGTCAGGATTGTCAAACCCTGCATAACACACCTTCAGAATTGGAAGTTAACATTTGTTGCAAACAGAAGAAAATTATTACATCTTCATGTCTAAATATTTTAGAAAACGTCAGATCTTCAGTTGTAGATCCAGCTGTGGCATGGTGAATCCACAAATACTACAAACAAAATTTGTGTCTTAGTAGCAGATTTGAAGAATCCCAAACTTCAGTAGCTACTGGAATCATTACTTAAGGTCCTGAACAAATTT